ATTAAAAGACCGAGAATTATTTAATTCTTCCGTTCGTTAGTAACGCACTTCGTTATGTATTTTTCTGTTCTCTGGGAGCAGGTCACGTGAGTTTTGTAGCATGAATTAACATAAATTGCTGTTTCTATTTTACCACAGTCACCGAACGGTGTACTCTATAAACACATCACCTGCATTAAACTTCGTGCCAGCACAATGTATACAATCCTCAATTACATCGCAAAAAATACGGGTTTCACGCAAAAAATTTCCTAATGCTTCGTTAGATATTCAACAGTTAAATTTAAAAATAGCACCAGCGTGAACGGGATTAACTCTGTGACCAAATTTCACTGCAAAATGCGTTCGAATAACTGCACCTTGGAGGTTTGCAATATACATTGCATGAGGTGTTAGATGTGTGGTAAAATCATTAGTTCAGGTTACATTGTTTTTGTAGAACTAGCTTTTTAGTCACGTTTACTATGCTTTTAATTGTTAACATTTTCCCTCATCAGTCATTTAGTGATGGTCATTTCATTTCCACATCCTTAACCGAGAGTTATGAATAGTTGATATCCAAGCATTTTTTAAAAATATCAGACTGCTTTTTATCAAAGGACCAACCCTAGAACGAGTTCCGGGGAGGAAGGGAATATGAACAGTCTTATAATTTGAAAAATAAAATTTTCGGCTTTACAAGCCGGAACGTCAATACGACAACAAGGCACACCATCGTGGGAGGTTTTAAATATTTGGAATCATAGGTCGGCAAAATAAATAGAGCCTATACATAGACTCACTCAGTAAATGTGCTTTTATCTTAGGAATCGATATAGGGCCCAGCCTATAGCCGGAATTTCGGTCACATATAGGTGACCAAAAGTATTTTTCTCTGCAAAACATTTTCACAACAGACTGCTTTCAATAGAGTAAACCAGCCCGACATTTTTCGAATACACCTGAGATAGTCGCCAAAACGCCTTGGACGTTTGGCGTGAAATGACCGATCAAACTTTACGTCAATGCCTATCACTTTTCGTCTCCACTGTCTCTTTTCAAGTTCGTGTTCTTCCTTTCTTGACATTCAACTTCACAGTAATTTAACAAATCCACATCATATTGGTTCTATAGAAGAAAATAGCTTGTGGTATACGCATCTCAAATCAAACTTGGGCGTGCACTTACGCCCCATCTCACTGTTTTGTATCGATCATTTCAGCGTTCTCATTTCACTTACGGCATTGTCACGTGGTTGCGACGGCAAAGAAGATGGTACGTGGGTTGCTCAAGACGACACTTTTTATTGAGTGAACATGTGCATAGGAAAGTGCAAAGTACTGAAAATTCGTGCTTTAAACAGATAGCGTTATTCAGAGCATTGGTCGTCGGTAATATGATCTGCGCGAAGATACGTCACCATTTATACACGTGGCATTCATATCGTAGGTGTCTCAAACTTCTCAGAAGATTCCAAAAATAATCTAGAGTTTTCGCAGACAGCCAAGCGTCCTTTGCGCAAGGCAATTGATTATTGTGTGGTGTTTAACGTTTCAAAACCACCACATGATTATGAAAGATGCCGAAGTGGAGGACTCCAGAAATTTTGACAACCTGGTGTTCTTTAACATGCACCAAAATCTCAGCACGTGGGCCTACAGCATTTTCGCCTCTAGTGAAAATAAAGCAGCCGCAGGTGGGACTTGATCCCGTGACCTGCGGGTCAGCAGCCGAGTGCCTTAGCTACTGAACCACTACGGCAGTGCCTTTGCGCAAGACAGTGACATAAAAATACAAGCGAACGTGGCAGTATAATAATGTTGCGATAAAATTTTAGCAGATGCAACATGTTTCACTGTGGATGTCATTTTCATACAGAACCGTCAGCGGGTGGCCACGCGCTGCAAGATGGATCGACGTCTTTGGGTATTTTGAGTAGGCTAAATTTCTACCTAAAACATACGGCCTGACGACAGCACTCACGTTGACTGTAAACTTTAGCGAAACGAAGTGCACGCTTCGGTGGGATGTTATGCATATCATTAAGAAGCTGTTGTGTATTTCTCAAAGGTCGAGCAACCCTTCCCTATCACATGCTGGGTGAAAGGAATATATCCATGTAATGTTTACAGCCAGCCTATAGACCGCAACAACAACTGACAGTGAGCGCCGACATCACTCCTGTAAGTCTATTTAGTGATGTATCCGTTACAGTAAAAAGTAACTAAATACCTCACTCGTTACTCTAATAAGAAAAAGGGGAACGTTTCACGGCTCCACGTTATATAGATACATAAAAAGGCTAACGCATTACCGTTACCGTAACCGAAAAAAAAACATAACGAATGTTACCTCTGCCGTAGCTCCGGAGTCATCCCCCGCCGCGGTGGTCTAGTGGCTAAGGTACTCGGCTGCTGACCCGCAGGTCGCGTGTTCGAATACCGGCTGCGGCGGCTGCATTTCCGATGGAGGCGGAAATGTTGTAGGCCCGTGTGCTCAGATTTGGGTGCACGTTAAAGAGCCCCAGGTGGTCGAAATTTCCGGAGCCCTCCGCTACGGCGTCTCTCATAATCATATGGTGGTTTTGGGACGTTAAACCCCACATATCAATCAAATTCGGAGTCATCAATTTTAATCAATGCGTCTTTGCTGCAGAAACCCACAATGAGAATTTTTAATTCTCAAATTTATGTTTCACACATACTAACCCAAGCAAGGATTATACACAAAATGTTTAATTAACGAGAATTATTTGTACAAATGTACTGAACCTTAGCAATGTTATATAGAATCTTAATGATGCCTGCACATGTGATGGCTTCTGACTCTGCATTGGAGCGTTATACACAAAGTGAGGGTCAATAATCCACGGTATTCACAAAGAAACTATCGCTGAACTCTCAAGAAATTTACAAATATCGGCCTTTTCTTGATCCTTCAGCACCTCCAATAAAGCATGTCGAAATCGGCACTGTTGGTCCTAGCCACCGGAATGGCCCGCTACGCACCAGTAGGCAATCACGGAGGCCTACGGAGGCCTACATTGGTGCCTTTTTATTAGAGAGGGAAGGGAATCGGGAGATGTCGTAAGGAAAAGAGGGGACACTTGCAAGTTTGTGACACCAGATGTGCCTTGCAGAGACGTAAGTCTAGAAAAATCACGTCTTGGAACACACATCTTGCAATAGCAGCCTTTTTTTTAATATGTTGCAGGTTTTATTTTTGTTTATGTAGGAATTTAAATCATGCCTAGAAATCAAGTATACAAACGAACATAGGTTCCCAGCACTCGTAATTGCATTCTTCTGTTGAGTCTTTTCCGGAACAAGTCGAGAGTGGCAGTTGCTATATAGATTGTATCACACATCTGATGGGTATTGAGCACGTGTACACGCTACAAAAAAAGCATTGAAAAGTTAAATGTTTTATACATACTTATCAAGCATTCTTATTTGTGACGTTTTAAGAGAAATTTTAATGGGGCCCACTTGCAAGGGGTGTCCCCTCCCCTGACCAAACACCAAGGGGTCGGGGAGTCAACGTTTTCTGCAGGCGTGGTCAACGGACGCCCACCTGGTGACCAGTATGGGCTGTGTATCTGCGCAAATATTGCATTTGCTCTCATCTGCACACATGACCATCGACAGGTTTTTGTCTTGGGGGGATGCAAACCCTTCTTTCAACTTGCATCACGACTGAGGGAGCGGGTCGTGTTGGTGTCGCTAGGGTGGGTAGCAAGCGCTGGTGGAGCTTGAAGGGCTCAAGTGTCCGTGTTGCACCACCCGCCTCGCCCACGCCCATGTCTACACTTCATTCATTGAACACCGCGCTGAGAACTAGTTGAACAAATGCGCAGATTTGTTTCCTTCCGCATCCTATAGCGCTGCATAAAAGATTCTCACATTGTGAAAAGTGGGTATTTTGATTCGTTTGAAGGAAAGTTACATTCAAAGCATGACAGATACTCAAAAAAGCGGTTTCATGCAATCGCAATGAGAAAACTCGAAGCAGAAGTGCTTCTTTTTTGTGCAGCGAACAATGTAAAAGTGAGATCGGATTCGGAAAAAGCGAAATGAGTGACGTGCGTCACTACTTGCTCATTGTTCAATGAAAGAAGGTTTCATGAAGTACGACGTAGCCAACAACAGCAGCAAACTGCTGCATCGTAAATTAAATAAAAACAAAGTGCTGCACATTTGCGGTAGAACATGGACATAGATTGAAATACGCGTTATTTTTTTATAAAAGCGAAATAAAAACTATTTTACAAGACGCTTTGCATTCATCGGGATGTCGACACATCTGTGTAGTGTCATTTATGCTATTTGGATGAAAATCCCTGAATTTTAACTAATTCTGTAACCTGTGGCAGAAGAGCCTTCTGTATTTTCAGTTTCGGTTTCTGCGCCGCCGGCGCCGCCACCGCCGACGAAAATTGGCCGCGCGCCGCCGCCGTTGAAATAACCGGCGTGCGCCGACAACGCCGCCGCCGACTCTGGACGACCCCCACGCCGCCGCCGGTCGAAATCACCTCGGCGCACACCTATATGAATCAGCGACTATGAGAATGATGTGTAGTAGCACAAAACACCTACCAGTTTGTAGTAGGCTCTAGGTAGTACACACATTTGCCTAGTCTACGTACTTGCGGGTAGTGAATTGCACTTGCGGCTTCGTTTATTGCTGTGTTTTGATTTTGTTTTGAAAGAAAGGTTCAACCCTTTTGAACTTCGTGACCCAATTTGGAAAGGTAATTCGAAAAAAAAAAAATAGGGCGGTGAAGCGCCCTATTTGGCAGGCCTGCGCAGAAACGGCAGGCCTACGCCGAACGCGCAGCACTGTCACAGCAACAACTCAAAGAGCGGCCTGTTAGAGCCTTTTCTAAGCGCAAAAATCAGCTGAACATTTGCTGATTTTTGTTTCGTGAGAAAACAGCTTCAAGTCACACGAACACGCACGGAGCCAAAAGCAGGCCAGAAGTACGAAGTTTAGACAAATGTGTGTACTACCCATCATTCCCATGCTCGCTGAAGCGTCGTGCGTTGCTCAGAGTTCCCTCTAGTGTATAGTAGGAAACTCTATGAACCTGGCGACATGAGGAGCGGTGGCATGAGCAGGTCGTAAGTTTATAGAGCAGGTCGTCGTCTGTAACCGCGAGGAACCGGTGCATATATTCGAATGGAGCTGCTCGGTGGAACAGCGTAGCTACCCCAGGCTTCCCGCTAGTAGTATTCGCCCTGTGCGTCGGACGAACGGCGGCGGCATGTCGGTGACTATCAGTGGGAAGCAGTTATCGCTGCTGCTTTTTGTTTCTTTTATGCTGGGCGTCGGCGTCGGCTACAAGCTGAAAACACTGCGCGTTCATTATCTCAAGCAGCGTCGTGACTGGCTCGCCTCCCGGCTGGCCACGGCACAGCAGAAGCTTGACGGTGAACTCAGGCACTGACCACGAACCCCTGCAGGTGAGCTTTCCCGTGACATTACGGGCGTGCTTTCGCTTGTGTAACTCTAGTCACGTCCTAAGAGGCCGTTCTCGAACGACCTAAATCACGACATGGTCATTACCAGTGATTCTAGCCACGACTTGAGAGCGTCTCTTCGAACGATGTTGATCACGCCATCTGGACGTAGCCATGGGGGGGGGGGGGGGGGGGGGGGGGGAGAGAAGGGCGCGGTTTCGGGGACGTCTACCCCCACCTCTAACTTTTAAAATTGTCTGTGTGATGCTTACAAATACAATCGTGTGAATTTAACATGTGTACACGAACAAACAAACGCAAGAAAAAAAGAAAAAAAACGGCATGTCTGCGCAGAACGCGCAGCACTGTCACAGCCACGTTGGTCACAGCAACAACTCAAAGAGCGGCCTGTCAGAGCCTTTTCTAACTCTCTTTGAGTCTGCTACGAGCGGCTTGCAGAAAAAACCACCCCGGGAGAGATTTTGCTTGAAGATTACGTCTCCTGATTATATACGTCACCGGAAAAAAATGTTCCTGGGAAAGGTGTTCCCATTTGCGTTGTCAGAAAAAACGTCCCCACACAGACACCGTCGAACGTTGCACCTTCTAGTCGCAAATACTTTATTTTTCAAAGGAAAAAAAGATGTGCGCGAAGATCGCAGTTTACTGAAGAATTACTGACGAAGCATCATAATGACATGCGACCTGTCCCAACTTATCAGCACACGTGTAATGTCAAATGCAATATTACATACAAAACCATGTTAGATGCATGTTATCTAGCTGTGTGCACACCTAAAAAGACCTATAGGGGCAGCTGTTCACTGCACAAGCATGGAATTCGGAGGTAGCAGTGTGGTCGCATCAGCACTGAGAAGGTAAGCGGATGCTGTCAAGCGCACATTCGATACTTGCCCCGTGGTTGACCTAAGGATACTTATTTGCAGAATGGAGGCAATCGGAGGAGGTAAAAAGCTGTGCCTGGGCGGTTTATGTAGACAAGACAAAAAGATATTGCCTTCAGTACCCGCTCGCGTTGTGCAAAACGTAATGGATGCAAAGGCGCTTTTATTATAGATGAATTCTCAAGCGACCACCACCGAAGCCTTCACGACAACCACCGTGCAGATAATGCTACGATTAATAGCGCAAGAACAAGGCAGCAAATGAAAGCGACTGCACTTGTCTCGAGAGAAAGACCCGCTGCCATTGTTGCAGATGCCATCTTAAACCTTAATGACAAAGAAAAATGCCACATAAGCAGCGAGCAGAGCTTGAAACGCTGCATTTGCCAGCAACGGAGCAAGATGGGCCCACCGAACTCTGTCAGCCTCAAAGACCTCGTTATTCCGTCACCTTGTACTATGACTGCGAGTGACCATGCAGAGCCCTTCCTGAGCTACGAAACTGGCCCAGAAAATGAGAACAGAGTGATGTATTTGTCTGCGCAATGTGTCTGAAGTTACTAGTCGAGAGCAGCACCTGGTTTATGAACGAAAACTTCGATCTCTGTGGAAGCTGTTGGACACACGATTCGGTTTTAACTTCATTCGTCTTTGAACACACTTTGGCTGAAAATTTGTGAAGTGTTGAATAAATATTGTAGTTTATTCGTTTCTTCGTTAATTTTAAGCTGGGGACAGCATTGCTAGAGAGGCTGTTTCTTCCAGGGATGTTTTTGTAGGGCACGTATCTTTTGGGGCCGTTTTTTTCCTACACCTGCTACAAGCACACTTGCTGGGTACCCACTATGCCATATCTAATCACAATTTTTGTGTAGTAGGCTGGCATTCACTATGCCATCCTTCATCATTCTTTGGTGAAGCAGGGTATCTGCTACACACTTGCTAGGAATATTGTGCAATATTTTTATGCAGTGGCTGATGACGATGAAGAGTTATGCCTGAAGTTGGTATGCGCCAAAGGTAATAGGTGAACAAGAACAAGCTTTTGTAATACGTTGGATCATTGAATGACCCGCTCTTTATGCAGTTCGCATTGTGTGATGTATGGCTGTTCCTTTGATGCTCTAGAACGCTTTATTACTCATATTAGCACGATTCCTTTCTCGACATCAAGCCTGCCTAAGGCCAGTTTTGAAACGAGTTTCAAGCACCGGCGTGGCTCAGCGGACGAATACTGGGCTGGCACACAGCAAACCCCGGTTCGAATCCCATCGTGTCCTTCGTGTATTTTATTTACTGAGTTTTTTTTCTTCTAATTTCTTGCAATATAGGTTACGATCACAAGCGGTGGACAACTACAGTGTCACATGTCACCTGTGTTCTGATCTGGTAACAGCTTTCACTGTAATATATGTGAAGGGGAGGGTTGTTGAATCTTTTACAACAGTTTTTTTGGTTGAGGGGTGAAGTGAACACCTTCCCCCCCCCCCTTCACCGAGAAACATTTCTCGTTAGGCCCTTGAAGTCCTGAGGAGACCGCTTATGAGGAAGGAAAAAAACTACACCGAAGCATCGCATGACAGCCTTGAGGTGTAGTTAATGTTTTATAAGGCCACAGTCACAAGATAGATCATGGTCAGCCGGGGTGGTTAATTGTTAATAGTATGGTTAAACAGTGTTCCAGTGCACAAACACAGAGTTGCACCATAGGGAATGCCAAGAAAGCTGCAGCTGTATTCAGTTTCATTGCATAAACAAAAACAAGCTTTATGTAGTGCAGGTGGTAGTCCAAAAGAATGCATTGATGCCGAAAGGAAGTTTTGCCATCACAGTCCATGCGAGCCTGCGCTACTGCCTAGATTATGCACTACAATCTTGTTTATCAGTCAAGTCTTTAGTAGAATCTGTATACTCTCACTGAATATGAGATTCCTGTGGTGCTTCGTCTTCTGTTTGCTTGTGAGACACATTGAATTTTCTCTCCCTAGGCTCTGTCTCTATGAACACCTGCTAGAACATTGCAGGAATATACTCTCACTGAATATGAGATTCCTGTGGTGCTTCGTCTTCTGTTTGCTTGTGAGACACATTGAATTTTCTCTCCCTAGGCTCTATTTCTATGAACACCTGCTAGAACATTGCAAGAATGTCTTCCCTGGGAACATAACTAGCTGCCATCTGTTCCAAAGCACCTAAATCACTAGAGCACTTATGCTAAAATATTTGGCATTCTCTAATGGGCATTTACGATTTATCTTCTAAGATTTTCAGCTGCATGAAGGCTACAGATTATTGGTAGTATCTAAAACATCTTTGGATGAAGCAGCGCAGAAGGGACGAAGAAAGAGGAGCATCACCAGTTTTATTTCGTAGTTCTAGTCCCGTGTGTGCTGTTTCAACCGAAAATAAGCACCTACCAACTCACTTTGGTTTCTATTTCTGTCTAAAGCAGTTGCCTGTTTCATAACTCAGAACTACTGGCATGGTATCGGCGTAATATTATCTTAGCTGCTACAAGATACTCTTTTTTGTCTTGTTCCAGAGAATGTTCACAGGATAAAACCCTGTCCGGCTCAACTGTCCACCATATGCTGGCCTGCTTGTGAAGTCAGTGCAGTTTTATGCTACTTTTGGTAGAACGTGCTCATACAAATTTTCTGCTTCGTCACAAGCAATTTCACTCAGCTTTTCTCATTATGATAGCAGTCATGAGTCACGTCTAACTACATACATTCCACAAGAAATTACATTCCCAATACACATACAGCATTATTGTCTTACAAAAACAGCATGTTTTTTGGGGGGGGTCATTTTATGTCTGAAATTATGGCTTTTATTATCATTGTTATAGTGCACTAAATTGTATAGTTGTACCTGCAGTGCCAACTATATAACCAGAGAGTAAATAAAATGCTGGAGAGGGCATTTTCAGCTATGTGGACTTCCCTGTGGCACCATCACCAGCTGGACTGAAGCTGTATAACTGCCATTTTATTAGCACTGGGAAACTAACAACACCCAAAATAGACAAGACAGGCATTGTTTTATGCTTGTGTCAAACAAAACTGAGAACCCTTGTGAAGGAAATGTCAAGAACATGGAGACTATAAACCAAGTGTTGCACATGCCATCTAGTTTATTTGGTTGCAGTTCCTTTACTTTTAAATGCAGCATTTCTAATGGCAAAGACTTGGCACTGGAGCGAAGCTTTAGTTGCCTGCAGCCACAGCCAACAAGGCAGCCCATTATGCCTAGTTTTCTTGGTTGGGTGCTTGTGCCCTGAAAAGCTTTCCCATACAGCATGGCACGTAAAAGCCATCACATTTATGTGCTGAACCTAAGAGAGTGTGTGTGAAAGAAAGTTTTGGTTCTCTGTGAAAACTAATCCTGCACAGCCACACATATAGGTAACCCAAACTAAAGACATACCAATTTGTCAATGGGCAAACTTTGAATGTCACAGAATCATTCAGTTCGCATAGAAATGCAAAAGTGATTGTGATAAGTGTTGCGATATATATCCACTGAGACAGCTAGTGAAACAATGCAGTTGTCCTTATTGTGGTGCTGATGTAGGCATGCTTCCAGTCGTGGTCGTTCATGGTGGGGCTGGCAAGGTCTCTGCAGCCATTGTTGAGGAAAAGATGGTGGCCCTGCGTGCTGCAGTGGATGCAGGATACTCACTGCTTCAGCGGGGAGGCACTTCACTTGATGCTGTGGAAGCAGCTGTTCGAGTTATGGAGGACCACCCGGCTTTCAATGCTGGTGAGCTCTTGTCAAGCCTCATTTTCAGTTCCCTACAATAAGTGATGCAGCAAACAGTGCCACATCCACTTAGCATAAAGTATTGGCGGTTCGGTAGCAAAACATATGAGATAGATTGGGCATGTCCAGGCTATGCACTACAGTTAGCATACAGCAGAATGCCGGGTGTGGCTCCGCCGCAGTGGTCTAGTGGCTAAGGTACTTGGCTGCTGACCCGCAGGTAGCGGGTTCGAATCCCGGCTGCGGCGGCTGCATTTCCGATGGAGGCGGAAATGTTGTAGGCACGTGTGCTCAGATTTGGGTGCACGCTAAAGAACCCCAGGTGGCCAAAATTTCCGGAGCCCTCCACTACGGCGTCTCTCATTATCATATGATGGTTTTGGGACGTTAAACCCCACATATCAACCGAATGCCAGGTGTGAACTGAACATGCATGGGCCCAATCAGACATGCCCAATATGCCAGTAAACATGATTGCACTTCCAAAAACACTTGCTGTCCAGCTGTGGTTGGTTAAAAAAAAAAAAAAACTTGTCAGCTCTACCTGCAGCCATTGTTGTCTCTCCCACACAACTTTTGCACAAGTGCTCTTCCCAGGAGTAGCGTTTTTATCAGATCAAGTACATCACGTGTTTCAGTAGATCGCTCCATTTCAGGGTGACTACTTTCCCACGTATGTTGTTGTATTGGACTTACTCAATGATAGCACTGTACTGGATAACCGGAGATCCTGATAAACGAAAAGATTTCGTTCGACATGGGGTAACGGAGATTCAGAGCAAAACAAACATACATATCTGACTACTTTCCCACATACACACACATTTGTGTCACTAGTTTTAGATCAGAAGCCTAACCATACTAAGAAGTTCTATCAGCAATGACGACATTACTGCTCAGTTGAATGTGATGTTCTAGGTAGTTGCAATTAACCGTTACCTATTCATGTGCATAGTATCTACATTAGCTAAAAAAAATATATACTTGCTGGAATGGAAACCATCTAGAACGAATGTCTTTCGCAGGACAGTAGCAGGCTCACCACAATTCTGTGGAAGGAACTTTCATTTTTCTGTGTGAAGCTTGTATTGACTAACTTTCAAAGCTGGAACAAAAAAAAAACCCTTCTTATCTACAGCTGGTGCGCACCAAAGAAATAATAAATAAAACTAATTTTTTTTTCTGCTGCTGGGGTGTAAATCCAGGTACCTCTCCTGATCCAAAGCACCCATGCTCGCCCATTGTGAACTGAACTGAAGCATTCAAATGCGTTTTACTGACAATACAAAAACAATCAGGGATCAGTTCACTTGCTATGCGTGTTTCATCAAACTGTTTCATGTTGCCAGACTAAAGGCGATCAGGGCGATAAAGGCAGTGCGCAAAGTGCAGAAGACAGAAAACTGGGATGACACAGATTAAGCGCATTTAACTGGTTTAATGAAATGAATATAGGACAAAAAAGAGAGGAAAGTGTGGGGAAACTATGCATGAGCTAATTATCAAGAAAACACATGCATTTATCTCTCAGATATTTATGTTTATACCATGCCATATCAGTATGCACATAAAACATGTGCTGCAATTAAACTTATCTCCATTTTTCTACAAATGCCACTTGCCTGTCTGGAAGTGCTATAGAGGGAGTGCTCACACATACTTTTAAACAGTATACTGTATGCTCTTATGGTTGTTATTTTGATTTTGCCCTTGCTTATGGCAAAATAGTTGGCACTGAATGGCCATTTAAATGGTCCTGTGTGACACAGGTACAAGAAGGGGGCCTTGTTGTATCGAGTTAATCTCGGGAGAGCTGAGTGTTTTCAGTGCCAGTGTTATGTTTGGGAGTTGCCTGCGTTTTTTCTTTACGAGCCAGGCAGAGGAGAAAAGCCAGTGTGTGTTTACTGGTCCAATAGTGGAGCGTAGTGGACACGATGAACTAGTCACTGTAGACTGTGTTTTGGTATTGTTTCAAATAAAAAAACAAATAGTTCTGAACTTAGTGGCCCAATTTGAATTGCTGAAGTGCTTCTGATGAACTATTTCAAGCTAAGGGGAGACATGGGTCTTACGTCTCTCTTACCTATCTATCTTCAACCAAATGTGACAAAAGTTGGCATGCTTACTCAGTTTGTTCTTCAGATTTTGAAGATGTAGTTATTTTTTCTGTAGCTTCATTGGTTCATTTAATGATCAAGATAACAATCCCTATTGTTCTTACCACAATAGAAAAATAATCACCAGTCAAAAGTTTACAAATGACATAGTTATAACAGTAGAAAGCACAAGCTACACAACATAGGAAGCACTTTTTTGATTGGGTCATTATTTTTTACATTACACTACACTAAGCTTCATAGCTCTGAATGTGGCCATTGTGTGGTCACACAAAAGACTAATTTTAAAAACTTGCATCAAGAGAAATCAAAATCTGCTTCCTATGTTGTGTGCTCCAAACATATAGCTTCATGCTACAAAAAGAATTATTCTGCTATCTGTAATAGTTTTTGATGTATTGCAGGAATTTCCATGCAGGGTGTACAATATTGCTATTTGAGAAAATTCAAGAAAACAGCAAATTCCAACATTTTAAACCGTAAAAATGTATGTAGTTAGGATGACATAGTCATTAATGTATATATGGATACTAGAAAGCCTAGGGAGTGCAATGCTGCAAGCTGATAGAAACTGTAACAGGTACTTCTCAAATTACAGCACAATCAAGTTCATTGTATGTAACCAAAAACAAATTTTTTATATTTAAATGAAAAAAAAATGAAGCTGCCCATTAAAAATCAGCTCCTACCACTATTTTTTTGCACATTTAGCTACATTGTGCAAAAACAATAATAGCTCTAGTTGTCCTAGGCCCACTTTCTTAGAACAAGCGTAAGAAAGTGGTCAAAATCTGTGCTTGGAGAAAAATACAGTTAAAACTTTTTCACCGTTTCATTGAAAAATATCATGGCACACATACTTTTGGTTAGTTAATATGCACCGGGAATGTAATAGGACTGATTGTTTGCACGAGCGTGTCGTTTCTTCAAGTCCTGTAGCAAGTTGTCGCCGTGTGCTCATCTGCCGCGAGGCCGCTTATCAGTTCGGTAATGGTACTGACGGCGATGTGCGACGAATGTGCACGCGTCATCCACAATCCGTCGAATAACACTGCGATGTTTTCCGGCTTGTCCAGAATGAGTTACTCGTAAATGTCGCGAACCAAACTTGCTTTGTCGTTCATCAATTTTGAGGCTACACGATGCAGAGAGTTTCCTTTTCGCGTAAGACTGCTGCATTTTCGAGTGGAGACCGCGACATCGTTGCGAACACGTGTTAAAATCAGTCTACCTGTTGCCTGTAGCCTCCATTGCGCAGGCGGCGAGCACGTTCACCGCGAACGGTTTGACTTTCTGTTGTTCGTCGACGCGTGGCTTACTCCGCTCTGACAACCCATAGTGCAGTTCAAGGTCCTTTCGTCAGGCGGGGGGAACTGCACATCGGTGGGTTTAGCAATAAGACTGTGCTTCCATTCCGTCGCTACAAAGATTGATATCTCTTGTATCTTCACTTCTGCTTTTTACTTGCCGTCCTCTAACTGATGAGGCTGCAAAACACAGCCGCTCTCAGTAACGTTGTCGGCAATATACGGGCTCGTACATGAGTTAGGCCTACACCGGTGACTCGGCGACCGCTGTTTACCGCGGTGAGTTTGTTCTCCTCGTTATGCGGAGCCATAGCGGGGCTCTTTCTGAAGTTCACAGCGAACGAACAATCGCCACACCCGCTTCACAAATTATTGTGGCACAAAACTTTTTTACTGCCGCAAGCTGTCAGCAGCACCGTGTTAAAATGACGCATGTCAGTGCGCGTCATGATGATGAAGCAGACGCCGAAAACGCCACTTGGCCAATCAGATGCTTAGGTTTTGTCACGTGCCCCGAGCAGTCAATATAATCGCGCGCTAGGGCTTCTCGATGACGCATTTTTGCTGCAAAACCAATTAGCAAGGCGAGCCAGCAGTGGCGGGAAATTGAAGATGAAGAGCGACCGTTCCAAACGAGGACCAAGATGAACATGATAGCTTGTGTGTAACGGCAACAGTTCGGCGCAGAAAAAGCACGATTTTAGAGCCAATTTGCGCTCACATTCATCTCACAGGAATGTTATAATTGATTTTGCGCCAGAAATAATGACGCGAGAAGCGAGAAACTTCTCAGAGAGGTGAAAAAAATCGGTACAGATTCCGAAAATGTCAGCTTCAAAAAGTCGATTTGTTTGCGGTTTTTAGCCTTCTAAGACCCGTGTCCCCCCTAAAATAGTGTGCGCAAATAGAAAGACACAGAGAAAATGGGACAGGAACAAATGCAAACTTTCAATGGAATTGAAAGTTTGCGCTTGTCTTATTTCTAGCTATCTGCACCTTTGAAACAATCGACACTTTCTAAACCAGCCGGCTGGCCATCACATGTTTCTCTTTGATAAGAGCCATCACCTCGCGCTAATTCAAGTGCTTCATCATCTCGCGCGATGCTAAGCGCCTCTCCCTGTCGTGATAAGCTAGGCGCCTCATCATCTAGACTTTCACAATCTACTTGCCTCTCATTGGCACTTTCTGCTGGCTGAATCTCGGGAACAAACTCACAGGCCATCTGACGGGTCAGTCAAAGCGGTCGAATATTGGTAGAGTCTCGCGGTACATCACACGATATTTTATTCACAACTGACTCTTGAACATGGGTTTTCAATTAATTGAGATAACTGTTGCTGCTGTTTACCAAAAAATTGGGGGACCTTAAAGCCTCACCTTTAGAAGTTGAACGCGATAGCGACATCCTGTTACTAGTGCATACTTCAAACACTTAGTGCATAAAACCTTTTCGAATTTGCTATGCACCCACTGCGCGACCTTAAGGGGAGATGCTATACGAAAAACGATTTTCTTTAATAAGAGTCTGAATTTAACACAAATTGGCATGCTAATAGAGTTTTTTCTCCTCTTT